GACCCACATGGATGTATGACAACATGCAAAATGTTAATTTTGCACGGTTCCCCTTTAAGATTACCCTTTGTGCTGTTGTACTGACTCGCCACCTGGATAACCTCATTCATGACTCACTTCTGAAATAATCATCCTGACTTCTGGCAACCTCTGTGCTCGTCTTCATCATCATTCTCATCATCATCATCTTCCTGCAAGCCAACCTGTCCGCCCTCCGTTTTCTTTCTCTCTCCGTTCCACCTGCTCAAGTCTTCAGGATTAGCTCCTTGTTCTCAACTCGGAGGCGCCGCCGCTCTCCATCGGACCTCTGGATCAATACCTCCATGCAAGCAAACAACCCCAGATTCCAGTCTTCTCTCATCTCCAATCATCAAACAAAACATATTTTTGTCCCCTCAGATAGAGAAAACTACCTAAAAATATGAACAATTATGAGGGAATTCATCTTGTTGGGCTGAAAAAAGTAAATGATTTGATTTGAAACCATACAAGTTGGACCCAAGAGTAAAATCAAATGAAAGATGAATGAGTAATTTTCAAAAGAAGCTTGATAAATGCACAGTAGAAAACAGAAATGACTTGCCCTCATGGAAACAAGTTCCAGTGATAAACAGAGTTCAGGTGTAAGGTGGTAAACAAATCACTCAGTATGAAGGATTTGTTTGCAAACTACCTTAAAGTGATCATTTTAAAGATTAGTTCATCAACGGCTGATAAAGAGATGCAGCTCAGCACTCGCTCAGAGCCACTGGCTCCATGTTCTCTGGCTTAATTGCACCCAGGTTGCAAAAGATGGAGCAGTGAAATGAATCGTTGTAAATCAGCCACGGAAGAGACAAAGATCGGTCATGTTAATGGTTCGAATCCCACAAAACATAATTTAGCTGCATCTTCTCGTATGCTTGTTGCCGGAGAGAACAAATCGGAGTCAGTGTGCCAGAGTCGAGATATCCGGTTGCAGATTTTCTCGACAGTTTGACAACAGTTGGACGTCAGGTGTGAAAGTTGGATGTCTGTCAACTTTAAGAAACGGAGAAGAAAACTGAAATGAAACTGTGGCAGAAGTTCACAATGGCACAATCTCTTCAAGTCACACATTTACATTTCCTGGTTGTGATTAAATGTAATGAATTTTAAAACCTGAGAATTAAAGAAATTTCATTCTCCCAGCAAGGCAAACCATTAATACTTTATATTTTGATAAGTTATGAGACTAACTCATTCATAAAGACTAATATTTTAGGTTTATCTTAATTGCTGTAAGGAAATATTTTAATATGAATTATACTACATATTAATCTGATAATATGCTAATTTTTGCATGATTAATGTCACTTTTCGCCAGCTCTAAGCTGTAATTAATATAGAAACTAACTCAGCGTGCAATAATACTTCCTTAGCCTATTTTAAAGATTTATGGAGAAAGGAGCTTCACTAGAGGCAAATAAATTCAAAAATATTTCTATAACGCCGTGGGTTTATATAAATGTGTCTGTATAAATGCTTTTATCCAGGGTCTTTTCACATACGGACTGAGAAATAGACATAAATTACAGCTGGCAGAGGTGCAGTGCTGTCTGAACTTTCATAATTGATATGAAAAAGGATTTTAATGCAAATGACATCAGATAGGTTAAGATTAATGACCTTCCTGAGGGGAAGCAGAGCATCCAACCTGTCTGTCACAAACTGTTCTCTTCACTGTCTCGCATATTAACTCAAACATCCACATCCTTGTATTTGTTTCCCTCTTTAATGTGGATTCTGCAGGCGCTGGTTTCCCCAGAGAAAATGTACACTGAGCCAAGCAGCAAAGCATATTCCCATTTCACCAAATAAAAGCCATATGGACATCTAATTTCGTCAATTTTTACTTCAGCATCTCATGGGGAACAGGAATATCTGATGAACGAGATGCAAATCCACCGTTTCGTTTCTGTTTTCGTTTTTTTGGAGCAGAGTCTAATGTCTGCTTTTCTGGGAACAATGAATAAATTATTTTTAATCAGGATGCACCCCCAGATGTGGAAAACAGACAAGGACATCAGTTAAAGTCAAGCTGAGCACATGAGAAAAACAAGCTAGATCATTTAACCCTCGGCTCCATTTTATTCGTTTTATTTCTGAAACAGGCTGTTTTATTGGACACTATAAATGATTTTAATAAATAACTAAACTCTGCAGCTTAGATGAAGGTTTATGGTTACAATAAATATTGTATATAAATATTGTAATATAGCTACATATTGCATCCAAAGAGCAAATATATATTTCTACAATATAGAAAAACTCTCAGTAATTTATATTTTTACTCCATCCAGAAGTAAGGACATGAAAACTGTAGTTCTTTAAGCTCTGGAGAGTCTTTTAATAAGAGTAATATTATTCAAAACTTTAAAAAGATACAATTTAATATTACATTTATTACATTTGTAGAGATGCCTCTTCAGTATTCTTTTCAGTCTTGAGACTCCAGCTCATAACTATAGAAATATGAAATGAATAATAAATTGTTCTGAGGGGAAACTTGCAAAAACTGATTGGCCACAGAGACGGGCCTGCTGCGCCGGTTTAATGATAGTATTAATTCATAACTAAAGTGGGTCTCAGTAAACTGCAGAAGGATTTCACAAAGTGACATAAAACTGAAGAGGAAGATTTTAGGCTTTGTATTTTTAGAAAACAGGGACTGTGTTGGAAATCTTTTCTCAGTTGAGTCTGTAGCACAAACCAAAGGAAACCTCTGCACTTTGTTTACAGTGATGGCTTCAAAGAACTGTACAAGTTTCTTTCTGTTAATTGTTACAACTAGATTAAAAGAAACAGCCAACCCCACCAGTCTCTGCACATTCGTCTTTTCTGTTTGCAGCGTTCTCGCTTCTTTTAGTCCCGACTTTCTTGTCACAGTTGCACTGCAGAGGTTCTGCTAAGTATATTGCATAACAAATCCATTCGCAAGCGGAAAAAGCTTCCCTGGTTTAGACTTCTCTAATCGCCGCTGGGTCTTTCTCACTCTTTTAACAGAACCTGCCAAGGAAGACGTACACTAGTGTAACATATTGGCTTACAGTATCACCGGATAAAGAAAAATAAATTATTGCAACCTTTGTTGCTCATCCAGCTTTGTTCCAACCTCTTATGTTTTGCCTGACACATTTTTTGGTTGTGTATCCCTAAAACAGTAATGTTTTATAAAAGTGACGAGATATACATCAGAAAAAAATACAGTACTGAATACAAACAATACAAAAGAAAGAAAGCAAGTGAACTTATTATTAGGTTCTTGTGAGGTTTGTTTATAAGTTCAAAACATCTGAGAAGATGGAAAGAATGATTTGGGGCTTTTGTGGTTGAAAACATGCAATTAACACAATATCTTATTATTTTTAAGTAATAACGTAGTTCTGAGCTACATCTATAAGTATTCCAAAGTTTTAAATATTACCCATTAGAAGCTGTTAGAAATCTCATATTAAATAGATTTTATACTTGATGTGTGAATTGAAATCATTCACAATGCATACTTGGCTGAAATTTGAACAAACTCACAATTTTAAATTCCTGTTACTCATTTCTACTGCAGTAATTATGAAGAAAACTGAAGTTATTCTAAATAAACAGAGATCTCTGTGGGTCTGGAGCATGCAGGTAAGTGATGCAATGCCAAGAAAAAATTCAGGGTGGCTTGCAGTCATTAAGTTGGCCATGATCCCCACTGCTTACCAAATTATATGTGTAATGAGGCCATCTGGCCAGCAGCTACAGCCTGGCCTAACAACCGGACAGAAGACGAGCTTAATAAACAAAATAATGTGCAGCTGTTTTGGCACCTTAAGAGAAAAGTGTTGGAAAAAAAAAATAAGGTTTGACAAAATTCACACAACTCATTCCTTTATTTGAATCTCACTTATACGTGAATATCAGACTTTAAACTGCAAACAGGAATGATAAAAAACTTCCCCAACTGTGAACCGCTGAGATTTCACTTTTATTACACTGATTCTGCAGGATGATCAATAGGCTAACAGCAACATTCTGTTGTGCCACATCTGTTCACCTCTGATATAGTTTTGCAAACATTAGAGGTTATAAATTGTAGATTTCTTATGTAAAAAAAAAAAACATAATCAACAGCAGAAAACAGACGTTTTAGTTTCCTTCCCACCAACCCAAATCCTCTCCTGCTACATTACATTAAAGAAAACTTGCAGCACATACTTATGGATGACAAATACACAATAAAATCACCATCTGCATCATTTCCATCATATTTCTACATTATTTTAAACATTAATATGAAAGATGTGACTAGGGTGTAAACATTGAGCCCTATGTAAACTAAGTGGGAAAGAATATTTAAATGTAAATCAAGTCTATTAGTTAAAATAATAAAAACATTACACAAAAGTAAAAAATAAACACATTTTTGGGATTAAGCTGTTGGTGCAACCTTAGAAGTTCGAAAAATGTTCAGCAGGCAACTGAAAAAACAGCAGCAGGTGTTTGTAATTTGGATTTCGGAGTGATTAAAAATTGATTGTGAGAGCTGGAGCAGGCTGCAGAGAGCATTACGAGTCATTTGTCCAATTCCTTAGAATAAAGAGCTAAAGGCACAGAGAGGCAATGAGCTAATCACCTTTGTGAACCAGCTGTCATTAGTAGCTCTGTGGATCAATAAGCAACATTTCAAGCCAAACAACTTCTCCTCTCTGCGTGTGGTTCACAGTATTTATGCGACTCATAAAACTACTTGAAGTAGTGATTGTGTCTGAGTTAATACAGCCGAGTGGCAACGTATGACAGGAGGGACCAAAGAGGAAAATGCATTTGCGTCATCTCTTTATGTCTCGACGCAGAGCGGAGGTTCAGGTTAAGAGAACTTTATTGAACAGCTAAATTTAGATCAAATCTTTCACAATAGATTATTTACTACTTTTTATCTCGCATGTCCAGACAAAAACACACAAAAATGAGGTAAAATTAAATGTTTGCAAACTCACAGATGCTCCCACTTTGCAAACAGAGTCAGCTGTGCAACATCCATTTTCCCACTTCTGGAAAGAAGCAAACAGAAGAGAGAGTCAGACTCACAACCAGAATCAGACAAACCTTAATAACTCTTCTTTCATAAATATGGAGGGATGAGATCATAAAGCATATCACACACTTCCAAGTCGACTGTTACAAAACCTGACGCACAACTAACAGTGCAGTGAATTACAGACAAACAGACAAAAAGAGCAATTTGAACAACCCAGTAAAGGCTTGAATCCTTAAAAAACATAATGCTGCCACCACCGTATTTTACTGTGCTGAATCGTCAGTGATGTGACTAAAATAGAAGCATTTGTTACATTTTCAGCTTCTACGGTTCACTTTCACACTACACTGTGTCAAACTAGCAAAACCACTTGAAATATTTGTTCCAAGCTACACCAAGAACCACTGAAAGAAACGACACTTTAAGCCTCTGAAGACAACATAAACGCAACATCCTTTATTGTAAAATAAAAACAAAAATGGAGTGCTATCAGGTTTTAGGATTTATCTTTGGTAAAAGACCAAGAGTGCTAGTGCTAGATTCTTGCACTTATTTTGGTTGTATTTACCCAGAATGATCTGCAATATAGTCTGCTTCCTGCTTTTGGAGACGTCTCTGGTCTGTTTGGTGTTCACATATTTGAACCGCGCCGCCAGAGTTCACTTCAGTCGACCAAGAGCTAAGTTTTTAGGCGGGTCGGAGTTCGAGTTTGGTCTGCATCAGAGTTTATTTGCACAAACAAACTAGACCTTCTAGGCAAATAAACTGGAGTGTGAATACAATCTAAATGTAATACTTACCAAAGATCAAATATTCCTTTTCCAAACACACACTTAGCTCCTGACAATCTATACATGTGTTTCCAGAAAGGACGGTTCGTTTACCTTTGACTGTATAATATTTGCTAATTAATTCTATTTGCAAAAAAAGAGACCTCATTACCGCTAATCGTTTCAACACAGGCCCATTGTGCAACTAGTCTGGAGGTGCTGCTTTATTCAAGTGACTCACAGATAAAAACTCTTATGAGATGATATAAGACAAGTGACAGCTTCTGGAGCCTTATGCATACCCATGCTGGCATGCTCGTGAACCAAATAAGCACTCCTGCTGCAATTGGGAATGTCAGCAGGACAACAGAGACATAGCTACACATCCTCCATGGTACGTCTCTGAATGACACAGCTTTGTTCTGTGAAGCAGCAGAACAAAGCGTGGGTGGTGGTCTGAACAGAACAAAGCCCAGATGAAATGGTTTGTCTGAACCCTTCACCAATCTACGGTGGGAGTGGGCGAGGAGCAGGGGTGATGCAAGCTCAGGCGGTTGCAAAAATCTTATTTCCCTGCTTCTAAAAGCTCACAGCTCAGTGGTGTTTCATGTCCCGGCAGCCGAAGCTTTCCGTTTGGTTCAAGGTTGAAGAGAATCTGGAATATTGGGAATATCTGGAATCTGGAATATGAGGATGGAGCAGAAACAATAAACTTTCACTTTAGATTGTTTCATGTTCTCTCCATCATTGACACTTTCTGTTCATCGTGCAATCAGAGAGCTCGATCCTGCTGACCCCATTTTTCAGCATTAATTACTACCTGGACCTGCCTCCAATCAGCAGTAATTGAAGGACACAGGGATAATTAACAAGCAACCTTTAATTGACATGTCCTGCCGTTGCTGATAATTAAGTTAGCAGATTTGTCATCAGTACAAGAAGCTCCTCAGGTGATTAACCCTCAATTTGCTGTCACTCTTCAATGACAAAAACACATTTTCCTAATCGTGAGTGGTAGCACTATTAATTAATCAAATGGTGCATAAAGATAGTGGGAGTAAATATTCAACATTTAGGGAAGAAAACAAGGAGGTTTCAGTATTCTCTAGATTGCAAGATTAATATTTCACAAAACAAATTCTGCCATGAGGGGGGGAAAACAGTCCACAAACATAGTTAGAAAGAAAAGAATAGATACTGCGACTAAACATCCTCTCAATCTAGTATGTCTTCTTTTTTTTTACAATTTCAAATCAATTCACAAGCAGATATAAAATCTAGTAGGTGAAAGCTGCTAATAAAACACAGAAAGAGTGATCTCAATCATCTGAGAAAAAGAGCTCTGACTGCATAAATAATCTTCAAGAAACATTAAATCATGTACAAATGTTTGTGTCTAAACACACATCTGAAAAATCTGGACAAATAACGCATCAGCGATTTATGAGACAGAACTGGAAGGTAATTAAAAATTAAAGCCTTCAACTCAGTTGCTTGATATTTTTATAAAGGTGAAACTTTTGCACTTTTAAAACAAAAACCACACGCAAAAAAAATTGAATACTGTCGCTGTTGCACACCTTACACCAAGAAATGATTACGGTAACCTTAAATAGATGTGTAAGAGTGTGAATATGTGAAATGATCAAAAAAAAAAAAAGTCATTTCACTCAGTGGGGCTGTGCTGAGATGGCAGATGAGTGTGTGACTCATTTGGCCCTGGGTGGCTGTGTCAGGCCTCTTTTCCGCCTGTTGACTAACTGCTCCTTGTTCTGTAAACACAGACAAATGCACCCCACAGGAGCGGCTGCCCTGCAGCTCCCCGGTGCCTTAAACTAATGAATTTTTAAAGAGGGTATCAATCAAACTGCAGGTCAGATCAATAGTCCACATCTCAGGAGCAGATTTTCACTCAAGCATTGCTTCCATGTAGCCGTCTTGTCAAACATTCTTTCACTGTAGACAAGCATAACATAACATTTGTAAAATGAAAATAAAGTCATTATAAGCTGTAAAGGGCGGGAAGTGTTATCTGACTGGGGCATCAGACGGCCAGGTGGTGAGCACATCACAAAAGCTGGTCAGAAAAGCACCGGCATACACTTTTGACACTTGGCATATAACAAAACAATCAATTTTGTTATAAACAGTAACCTATTATCCTTTCTCAAACAGTTTTATGGGCTAAACAGAACATGTTCATTACAATTTTTGCACAAAATCTTTTTAGTCCATTCAGTTCTGCCTATAAGGAAAAAGTTGAGTGATATTTTCAACACGAATATCACCTCAAATGTTTCTGAGAACTACAACTCCAAAATAAAATGGATGTTATGTAATAGGACAGTAACAGTTATAAACTCTAACACTGAAGTTGAGAAAATATTATTTTATGATATATAAACTATTACATTTTGGTGATCTCTAACTACACTGCCTGAGTAAAAATTCAAAATTGGATCATGTAAAGCAGGACCTTAAACGGCATGAAAATTAAAAACAGTTTGAAATTTGATAAACATTTTAACATTTCTCTAAAGACTATAGAGAGATATTTAAAGATGCTCCTGTCTGATGTTAATGCAGACCAAAAACTTGGTGATTTCAGCTAATAATGCTTTATTTCAACAACCATCTGCGGTTCAGATTAATCTTCCTAATGACGCATATCAATTTACCTCACACAAAGATAAAAGGAGTTAAATATAAGGAAGCAATTTTCTCAAATGCAAGCTGCAGTGATTAGATCTCTTTCTTTGATCTGATTTTGATAAATTAGATCATAAATGCCACAATACAAAGAGGACATAGCAAAGGTAAATGGAGAAAGAAGGTACACTGTGTAATAAAAAAGGAATGAACAAGACAACCTTAAGAGGATGAGCCAACAAATTACAGAAATAACTCACTAATTGGTAAAAGCAGAAGACAGATGTCTTATCTGGTTGCTGATATAACAAAACACTTATGCCTGCGAGACAATTCCTTCATGTTAAGTCAAAAGGAACAAAACACAGGGGGACCATATGTACAGAAGAGCCAGAGGCTCTTCATGTTGCTGAACAATGCTTCATTTCCGCTGCGAGTTCATTCTAATTTCTCTGTCTTTACTTTAAAGAGAATAAAAATAAACATTAGAACAATGTTCTACAGAATACAACCGAAAAGCTCTGGGTAAGCTTTCTTTTGGCTTAGAGAAACTGTCTGTAATGGTAATCTTTTTTCTTTTTTTTAAAGGACATGCTATTAACTTCATTCATTTACTAAAATGAACAAATGAACAATATAAGAAAAAATTCTGTGAAACATAAATTTTAATTTCTCACAGAACAAGTAAAAGTCTCCAGTAAACCAGCTCAATTCTGTGTGAAAATAAAATACCTCCTTGCTAAATTATGAATGAATTAAGCCACATCCAGACCTGACTATTGTCAGATCTTAATAAATTACTTAAATATCATCCACCCAACAGTGTGACGCAAGCTAAAACTGCCAATGAAACAAATCATGCCTTAATCTAAGAAATGTGTGAAAGTGTGAATGCTTGGTGAAAAATGGCAAAAGCGTTTGAAGCCAACTGCTGAAGACTTGCAGAAAAGTAAGAAATAGTCCATGAATTGCAAAAAAACCCACGTAAAAGCCAAAATTAGCTAAAACTAGCTAAAATGCTAATGATACCAAATAAATAACCACTAGCATGCTGGGTTACAGTGAAATATTCCAAAAAAATTAAAAAAAAAAAAAAAAAAAAAAAAAACCTCATTTAAAGCCCTAAAATTTGAGTGATTTCCCTATTCCTTCTGATAAAAATGGTGGGTGAATGACATCTATACCTTTTATGATTCCTGAGATATCAACATTTGTTTGGCGGCATCATTTAGTATCGTTTGACTGGTTAGCTCAGCTGGTCAGAGCGTGGTGCTAATAACGCCAAGGTCATGGGGTCAAGCCTCATACTGGCCAATTCAAATCTATAGTCTTAGATTTTCCAAATATTTGATTTGGAAAATCAAATATTATGCATGTTGATTTTGAAAAACATTAGAATGTCAGCACTTTCCTCAAAAATCTTCAGATAAGATCATGTAAGTTGTTCTTAAATCGATGGAAACTCAATATTGTGTATGACCGTTTAGCTCAGGTGGTCAGAGCGTGGCGCTAGTAATGCTGAGGTCATGGGTTTGATCCCCAATATGGTCAAATCTAAAGTCTTTCAGAAAGTCAACACTTCAAAATAAAAAAATGGCTCTGAAATGCAATCATTTAGTTAAGTATGGAAATATTTTCCATTTTACGTAAGATTTCTTTGAATTTATTTTACTTTTTAACAGGATTTTTTTATGTTTTCCCTTTTTACATCTCTATAGTTTGTGTGCTAGTGGAAGACGTCGTCACCAAGCCATATTTTAAAACTTCCTGTCAACTTTTAACATGAAAACACCGGGGGTCACTGACGGACTGCCCTGGCATCCACCACCAGGCTTACCAAGTTTTCTGGAGAAAGCATCCTAAATGTAGGAAATTCTATTGAAATGCCCACAATATTTAAAATTTATTCAAAATGCACAACAAATGCAACACATTTATTGCAGAGTAAATGATGCCTGTGCACTCTTGAACAGTCTCAGTTCAGCTCTCCTCTTACAACATCCTTCAGCTGCTGGTAATGAGAAAGCCAACATGATCAGCTCCAAACGGCAGACTGAGGCAGCGGCTGCTTTTAGAGGAGCATCACATTCATTCTGGCGTCTGTCCTGCTACTTAAACCACGCACATAATCTTCACATGTTAGGATGTTGTAGCAGCAAACAGCCTCCAATAATCCACAGCCACAGAACCACAGTGGAAACATTTGCCGTGTTTGCCTGCCAAGAAAGGGATTTCAGCAGCACCAAGGAGACCGAGAGGAGCAAAATAAAGAAGCAGAACTGTTTGACTAAAAGCTTTCTGCATTGTTTCATTTTCAAGGACATTTCTGTGTCCTATCCAGCATCCAGTCCCGCTCTCTTTATCTAAAGTCCACCCGGCCCCGTTGTGGTGCTCTGAGCTGCAGAGAGCAACCCACAATCCCATCTGCTTGTCAAAGAGAAAAGCATGTAAGCCGCTGGAGCAGCAGGGATTGAAGATCCCTGGGGTAAAGCCTGGGACATTCAGAAAAGCTCTGTGGCTTCACTTTTGTTATTTTTCCTTTTTAGTTCAGTTCCAAAAGTTTAAAGTTTTAAAGCAGCTCTTCACACAAAATTGACCTTCTAAAAAGGTTGAAAGCCAGACGACCAAGCAGATGAGGCTTTGCACACAAAAAAAAAACAAAACCTGGACTTCTACCACAGTAATGCATTTCTCAGAGTCTCACCCAAGTTTTTAGTATAAGGGGACTTTTTAGGTGCCAAAATCTGAAATAATATAAACCTTCTCTCAATTATTATAGCAACATGAAATGTTTTTTTACATTTTACTATTGTTATAATACAGATTAAAAATAATTTATAGGTGTACTTTGGCAAGGAGAGGTAATTATTCTGATGCTGCATGTCTGGTTGTTGTCATTACTCTCATAGAGTTTCTTGTCTTGCTATGAATTAGTATGTAACCATTTTGTCTGTCATATAATTTATTTGTTGGCTCTTAGCACAGTATATTAAATAGGCACAAACATTTTAACATGGATTTAGTCACAATGTTTTTATAATTATTGAGTCAGTAAGTAATATATTTCATTAAATTTACATAAAGGGCAGGATTAAATAAGTATTCACTTCTTCATACTCCTTTTCAAACAAATATTTTTGTTCTTGGTCATGCATGCATATGTTTTCTCTGTCCTACTGATTGCTTGTTCTTTTGTTTAAAAACCTGTTTGAAATATATAAATCAAATCAAATTAAAAAAAAAAAAACCTAATGAGTCCTTAATTTTAAACATGAATGTATTGATGTTCAATGTAGGTTCACAGGGTAGTAATCCTTATTCTGAGTAAGAAAAATAGGAAAAGTGGGAAACAGTCATTTATGTACACACTAAAACTCCGCAAGATATCAAATCACCATCCCAATATATTAATATTGGGATATATATTTTTAATATCACAATCATTAAAAACAGCTTAGAAGGATTTAAGAGCTCTTTAAGGAACATTTCTTATTTTTCAATCATGTGAATCCACTTCTGGATTTGTTACTAATGATGACCATACAAGTAATAAATACTGCCGAAGAAACAAAGTCATTTATGACTTTTAACTAGAAGTATGTTTCTCAGAGAAACTCAAAACAACCTACATTTCCAGACCAAAACAAACATTTCAGCTGCGCGCTAGGACAGAATGTTCCTGTCAGTCAGTGATCCATTCTGGAGCAGAAAGAAATTTCAAAGACATGTACTTTTTCCTCAATTCAGCACAGACACACCTAATGATTCACCGCTGTGACTGACAGTATTCTATTAAGTCTATTGGTCTCTGAGCTCAAGTACACCGCTTTTGAGACGCATTCAGTCGGAATCGAACAGCGGAAACAGGAACAGAAGAGAAACTTCACCAAAGTTGGGTGCACAAAAGATGAAACAACAAGGACAATAAAGCAAGATGAAAAACATTTCTACACAGACACAATCCACCCTGTATGTGTGGACCATACGGATTTTGTTCAAGCCAGATAAATAAGCCTGGGATCATCATGGGTTTCTTATAAAGAGTCCATTTGAATACAGCCTAACCATTTGTGGACCTCACGTATTGAATGTAAATCTACAGGTGTCAGTTGGGTCTCACAGGGGCTTTAAAGGGAATGTATTATGCAAAATTCACATTTTGCACGTTTTTGTGCTTCCATTGGGGTAACAACTGCTTCTAAAAACAGTCAACGCGTTAAAAAAAAAAAAAATTAAAAACACCCAGCCGTTTCGTGGCAGTAAGTTAGTGTTTCTTGGTATCTGGAAATTAATGACCAGTTTCAAAAACCTTCGGAATGTAACGTCAAATCAGCGGGAACTTCCCATCACCTAGCAACGCCAGGGAAGCCGGGCTCGTTGCCTAGCAACCCAACCCGAGCTCCAGGACGCAGCACTAATTTATCGCCGGGTTGTAGTTAATTCATTCCACCTGCGCTCATTATATCAGCACAGAACTCAAACTTACCGGAAATAAACATTAAAATCTACATAGAAACAGCTGTTCAGCTATTTATTCAGTAAGAAAAAGAACATTTAAAATCTACACTGAACTGCGAAAACCGAAAACTATTATCGGTAATAAGAATAGCATTTGCTAAATTTATGTCACTCGCGTTACTTTTACACGCCGTTTTAATCCGAGGAGTTTATACTTTTTGTTAAAAAAAAACAAACTATTATAACGTATTTTTAAAAACAAAAAAACAACTAACAATTTTTCGACCTTACCTTCTCCAAATAAAAGCTCCAACGTTCAAGCTAACATGCGCCACCTGGCGATGATGTGTTTCTTGCAGAACCGCAGTTTTTTGAAGCAGTCAGTTTGCGTGGCGCACTTATGCGTGACAGGGGGATGTAGTATGGAGAGCCATAGTAGGTTAACAATGTATGGCAAGAACATTTGCCATATAATCTTTTTTTTTTTTTTTTTTTTTTTCAATTACAACGAACGTTCACCAAGAACAAGAACAAATAAAATTTTAACAAACATGATGAGCGTTGGACATAATAAAGTCAAGATTTTATTTTCTTGTAATATTTAGAAGATTACAAGAAAAATTAATTGCTTCAAACAAGATGAAATAAGAAAATACCCAATTATTGTGGACATAACTGTACAGATGAGATTACCTTGTGAAACTGATGCAGTAAAAGTTCTAAATATTTCAAAAAATGTTGCCTGCACCTCTGAAAACTAGAAAGATATAAGCTAACAAAATGCATATATGAAGAATGGGAAAGTAAAAGAGGCTTTCCTATACATTTGAATGTCAGATCTTCAACCTAAAATACAAATGTAATCAGTAGTGTCCAGTATTAATTTCTGACAAAGACATTAGTATATCTATTGACGACATATATTCCAATGTAAAAGAGGTAAAATAAACAAATAAATAAATGTTTGTGTGCACAAACGTGGCCAATAATGTTAATCCAGATTCTGATGTTTCATCTTTTAAAAATGTAATCTTATCATTATACACCTTACATTTTTGATTAAGAAAAATAAGAAATCTAAGAAAAGTGAGAAAGAGGCGTGCTTAGATTGTGTGCCATAACTCTTGCCATAAATAAAGTTTCCTCATCAGCTCCACCGCAGTTTGAGTGCGCGTTCACGTCTCAGGTCTGGGGGACGTTGGTGCCGTCTCCGCGCTCCCGCCGCCGGAGTAAAAACTATTTTGTCTCTTAAATAGAATCGACAAATGTACAGGTAAGTAGCCGCAAAATAAGTTTATTTGTCTGTTTCAGGTCAATAACGACTTTTAGAAAGTATTTTAAAAAATTTTGAAGAGTTAACATCAGGAAATTGTTCTTGGAAAAACTCAGTATGTGGGTGTGTGTCTTTCGGTTCATTGTTTCATGGCTCAGAAAAAGAAGCTTTTCGTATCTGTGATTTGTGTGGTGTTTAATAGTTTTTATTTAGATTGTCGCTTATATGTTTTTGTAGTTTATTCTTTAGGACTTATATTAATTAGACGATACGTTTTAAATTGCACCAGATTCTGGTTGCAGGCTCAATGTCGCAAAGAATGATTTTTTCCCTTTCTATTATCTTTTGTCTGGAGCCCTCATTGATCAATAAAATGTAATTGTTTTTCTATATCGCTGCAGACAGGGGGAAGCAAAACAATTTAATGGAAAATTAAGATTTTCTTCTTTTTGATGTCATTGGCTATTTTATGTCTTCAGTTATGTTTTATGTTTATTTATAGTTTGTTTTTTTTAGCTGAGTTTGGAGCAGATTTGATCAAACTGTTGGTGAGAAATGAAAAAGTTCTCAGGCTGGATAAAGCCCTTCATGATGCTGCGAGTTTAACACAAATTAATCAGATTAAAGAGTTACAACATTCCATGCTGTAATCTCACACAACTATTCAGGCAAAAATGCAGGTTTGCCATTATAACATTTGAAGCCATGCAGCCGTTTGAGCAGATTCTGTAACTGCTATGTAAATGAGACCATGATGATTTATTTCAACACTTTTTTTCTTTACTTTAAATGTGTTTATGTGTTATTACTATTCGGCTTTCTAAATGCTCATGCGATTGTTGGAGCTGTTCATCTAATCAACACTGACAAAAATCAAAAATTAAACCGGGAAGAAGGAAAATTCACCCCACATCATTATGCTGCCATCACCACGTTTCACTCGGTGGTTTTGCTGGTATCCACTTTTTTGTGATGCCGCCAGGGGTGCGGACAAATAACACTGTTAATGCTTAGTGTTGTTAGCAAAACAAGCTAACGTTAGCAATCTACTTCCGCTCCGACATTTTTGCGCTTTTACCTGTCAGACAAATTTGTACGGTGACGCAGTAAGACCATTGTAGAGAGAAAAAATGGGAGAGTAAATTTCTGCCAAAATAAAAACTCAGAATCTCAAAATTTTTATTAAAAAAATTTCTGAGCTCCAAAAAAAAAAAAAAAAAAAAAAAAAAAAAAAAAAAGCGGAAAAAAAAAAAAAATTTTGGGGTAAATTTAAAAAAATTTTTAAAAAAAAAAGGGAA